GGAATTCTCGCAAGAGGTGACAACGGCGTCAGCCGCGAGTTGACTATGTCATGGTTCTCCGGCTGCATTTGGTTAACAAGAGAATTGACCTTCTGTTTCCATATTCTGTGCTGCGTTTCTCCTGTGAAAATTAATTATCCACGCGGGGAGGGCGCAGGCGACCAAAGGCTCCGATGACAGCGGGTTAAATGGTCGAGTAATCGTCGCGCCAAGAATCAACATTGGTGATAAAATCACAGTGATTATCAACTCGGGTACGGACTGACGGACAGTCATAACATAAAATGGTGGTGGTGGTGCTGGTGCTGGTGCTGGGGGTGGTGATGGAACAAAGAACTTTGCCTTACGCAGGACACTAACGGCTCCCAAGCAATGGAAACTGCGGCGTTATTCAGCCTAGGTAGAACGGACTTACTGTCGGAAAGTCGCAGACCCTGTTAGGCCAAGCTCAGTACTTAAGAGTCGTTATCTAACGCCCAATTTTCAATCTGTGATAAAGGCATCCACAGTTTTCCCCAAGTGGAAGTTAACGCTGACCACGCTCCTCCATCGTCCCCGCAAGAACGATTTAAAGCAATGCCTCCGATTTTGCGCGGAAAAATAGATGCTCGTCGATGCAGTCAAAACGGCGCTCCTCGTCTCCTAGACAAGCATACCTCGCCTATCTATATGCGGCTACGTGCGTAAGTCCCTCGAGTTTTCGTGGACGTAACCATGCATTGTTTACACAAGCGCGAATTAAAGGACAAGTCTGATACAATCACCGAATATCGCTCTTATAAATGCTGTTGAAGAAGTCTTAGCTCGAGTACCAATGAATCAACACCTGCAGTAAGAGCACATTCATGGAAGTGAATATGGAATCTGAAAAAGCTGAAAAACCACCGATATGGTATCTAGGAAGCGTGTGATCCTCACTATTGTGATTAGGATCCAGCTCGATGCCATTCTGTCTACCCGTCCGCGCCTGTCCTGTTGCACTCTTTGTGAGCTGCTCACGTATCACATCGATATGGTCTTGGTGTCCTGGAAACTGCATGACAAATAGCAAGAAATTGAGACACCGGGGACCTCTATGCCCCCCCAGAGTGATAAGGAAAATTGATGTCCCTAACAGTTCACGGTGCTCCATGGCAGCACGATGGGACGCATGACAGAAAGCAGATCCGCCTCGTTGATCTTTGTGATGACGAAAGGAGTGGGCGGAACTGACGAACCTTGACTCTCCTCTCCGGCCTTCAGCTCTCCAACATGTCAGTGGAGACCCCGGTGGAATCGACCGGAACAACCGTATACGAGACGCTACGATCCTCCAGAGTCGGGCTGCATGGCCTTCCCATTACTGATGACAGTGCGCCGACCGCCAGAAACGGATCGGAATCATGACGAAATCTGGACTTATTAGCCTCTGCATGCACCAACATCAAAATAACCATTAACACACAAAATTCGCATCTTGCATACACGAGAATAAACTGATTGTGTGACGGCGTAACCAGTACTCGCAAGGGGCTGCCCACTCCTACAAAACCCGTCAAGGTTTTAAATTTGTAGTCGCCGAGATAATAGCCATGCCGAGAGCGAGACAGGCCGAGAGCTGACTGAAGCCTGGGTCGCGACGAGAGCTCAACCGGTCGATATATTGATTTGACGCCTGCATACAGAACGCGACGTAGCCAACTCCAGGCCGTTGGCACTAGTCGCTAATTGGCCATTGGGTGCTATAATTGTCACTTGCTCTGTCGCTGTTGGAATCTGACAATGGATTTCAGCAAGCGTTCGAAAGTTAAGAACAATAAGCAAACGGCTGCGGTGCTCGATCAGCTTCCTTCCCTACCCATAAAATAACGGCTGCTGACCTACATTTATCCGAACAAACGAGCTCTGTCACTAGGAGCCGTCTTGTAGCAACAGCAGACCAGTCGTCTTCTCTGGACACCACCATTACACAGACCATCATAATCACCGACGAGGTCTAAACCCGGAAATCTAAAGGTCGGCCAGTCTTTTGACCGGCTGCAACACTCAGTGATAGTTATGTCATCCTCAACAAGAGACAGAGATAGACCGTCGTTTCCTGCTAAGTTCGCCATTTGCTCTTGAACAGGGTGGGACCATGGAAGGCTACTTGCGCGGCATCTATCGCACTCTCTCCTACTCCACCACATGGACCCCGTGTCAAGACAGAGTCAAGAAGACCGGAGACAGGGGAAGACGCAGGCGGCTAGCACGGAGAAAACCCGAAACTCAGAGCGTGATACCACATGCGACTCGGACCTAAATGAGTGGGATTGCCGTAGAAGCCACATTCAGAAGGAGTCATTGCAGCCTGACTCTCAGTCCACTAGCCAGCCACTCCACACAAACACACCACACTCGGCCAACTTCAAGGTCCGGCTTGCCCCGTCAGTTGGCAACCTTCCAATCCACAGCTTTTAGTGCACCGTCTGACTGGTTCTAGTGAGGAATTATGTTCTAAGAGTCGGCCTCATCCACTCTACCCTATCCCGCGCGCAAGTTAACTGTCCAAGTCGATCAACCAACTAATGCCGACATTGGGAGAGGGGGCTGAAAGAGCTAAGAACTTGCCTTGTTTAATTTCCGGGGAACTTAATGGGCGAACTTGGAGTAAATCTTTCGGAACAGACCTTTTCAGGCACTGTCCGAAATGTGATATGAATAGTTGAGCTGATATCCATCGGCTACCGCTGAATAACCGCGTGATGTTCACTAACCGCCAAAGGGCAGCCAGTAGTATAGACTAGTGTAATTATTTGCCGTACTAACAACACAGGCACTAGCGAACAGCCCAGACACGCGTGTTTCGCCGATCTTATGCCGTCGCCTGACGCAGCTGCGAGGGGTTCGGCTCATCAGTGGGTTCCCCAGTTTTCTCCGTATGTTTTCTGGCATATGAACTCCAGTTTAAACTTGCCTGTGTTGTTATTACGGCAACTAATCGTGCAAGTCTATACTTCTGGCTGCCTGTTGGCGGTTTCTGAATATTACACGGTTATTTCGCGGGAGCTGGTGGATCTCAGCTCAAATATTCATATCGCATTTCGGACCGTGCCTGAAAAGGTCTGTCCCGAAAGACTTACTCCAAGTTTGCTTATTGATTTCCTTTAAAATTAATCAATGTAAGCTGAAACTAGAGTTCATATACCAGAAAACTCACGTGGAAAGCTGGGGGACCCACTGCTGAGTTGAACCCCCCGCAGCTGCGTCAGGCAACGGCACAAGATCGGTGAGACACGCGTGTCTGGGCTGTTACCTAATACCTGTGTTGTTAGTACTGTAAATAATTACACAATTTTAGAGCTAAGAACAGCTCGACCGCGCGTGACACACAGGCGACCTGAACCCCTATAAGCGTACACCAGGATTTCATGTACAAGGGATAGACTGCATGGGTCTCGCGTGTTGCAGAGGAGCATTGGAGAGAATGAAGCCGAAGGACACTTGTTCCACTCAAATGAGAGGTGCCGGAGGTGTTCATGTGTGGCGCATGTCTTGATGGGGATGGTGTGTGGTCATGTCCGTGGTGATTTATCGCAAGTTTTCATGGGAGCGCATTTAACCAAACATGCCTGTGCGAGGAGTGAGTGTGCGAAGGCAGTACGGACAATTGAGACAAAAGTGTATGGTGTATGTTAGTGCTCCAGGCACTGTTTCGCCATTCTCTGAGCGATGGATTCGCCGACCAGGCTTCTGTGTGAGGTGGACCTGCAACGACAGTGTGAGCAGGATGGAGGCTGTTAAGTCCAGTTGTCAGAATGGTGCTCCTATCGTTGGTTGCAGTGATGTATGAGGAGTTGTTTGGACTGGGAATGGGAGAGTACAGGGTGCGCAAACTTTGGATACGTACAGTGAGTGACCGATCTCATGGAATGTTGGCTGAAATTCTGAAATGCATTTTCGATGAGGAAGGATTACTTAAGGGCGGTTGCAAAACTGAGTTTCTTGCAACATAATTCTATAATAGTTCGGCCTCTGCAGGACGTCAGCTTTTGAATGCACTGCTTTTAAATCTCCCGGAGAAACCGTATTCGGTAAGAAATGACTACTTACGTAGCATGAAATTTTCACATTGATTTTCGATGGTCTAGCGAATTCAAATATATTTTATAGAGACCACGAATAAAAATATCCTTTCTTTCAGTCAATTAATAGAGAATCATGTCTTCTTTATGTTTTATATTCAAGGAAGGAGTATGATTAGGTTTTGAAAAAGTTTCTAATTATGAAATTGTTCAAGACCGTGCGGTGTCCATTCATACAACATCGTACCTCTCTGTTTACCACCGCTTCTCATGAAATGTACAACATGGTCCGCAGCCATTTCAACATTTGGTGGATCCTTTATAGCATCTTTTATTACGGGGAACAAATGCACCCTGTAGACTGAAATTACTAAGCGCTAATGCAACGGCTGATCAGACTCCAAATTATTCGAAAATAAGAAAACTTTTTAAAACCTACTATACGCTTTTTTCGAGTAAAAAATATAAAGAAGACGTGATTCTCTATCAAAAGACTGAAAGAAAACATATTTTTGTTTGGGGTTTCTATAAAATATAGTTGAATTTTCAAGACCACCGAAACTCCTTGTAATAAATGCATGCTACTTAAGTAGTCTTTTTTTACCGAGTACAGTTTCTACAGAAGATTAAAATGTAGACCGTTCAAAAGCTGACGTCCTGCCGAGCTTGAAGTATATTAGGACTATGTCCCATGGTAATGAATGTTTCAACCCCAAATAAGTAAGCCTTCCCAATCAAAAACACATTTCAGAATTTCAACCAACATTTCATGAGACTGGTCATGACCGAATAGGCCCATTCAACGTACGAAAGTGGAAGCGGATGCGGCAAGTGCGTGTTTGGTGCTCTTGACATAGGTGTGACTGTCGCAGTGGGATGGATCTGCAACTGACTGACCAGGTTGATTCATAAGGCAAATGTGCGATGGCAAGGAGGACGGGTTGGGAGTGAATCCTCATGGCTGCTTGTGGGGATGATGATGATGATGATGATGATGATGATGATGATGATGATGATGATGATGATGATGATGATGATGATGATGATGATGATGATGATGATGATGATGATGATGATGATGATGATGATGATGATGATGATGGTTGGCGGCGCTTCGGGGGTGCTGTGAACTGTGGGGAGGGGGTGGGAAAGGTGGTGGAAATCGGCCTTGTCTCCGTGAAGGCTAGGACGGGGAGGATAGAGATGACGATGATCATCGACGGCGCATCGGGATGGTGGTCCTCGGCGGTGATGGTAGTCCTCCTCGAAGACGTCGTGCAGATCAGAAGAGGGTCGATTGGAGAGGCAGAATTTAGGGTTCTCTGGCTGTTGATGCATTGATTCTGGAGATTTCCGGCGAGGCCGACTCGGTCGTGGGCGTGTTGGGAGGAGTTAGAGGTTGACGTTGCAGGTAAGAGGCACCCAAGGCTTGAGAACTTGTCACTTGACTTTGGCAGTGCGATCCGGTTCGCTTCATAAACTGGTGCCCCAGTTTTCACTGTACTTCTCCAGTTGACAGTCTCCCATGATGGATTCGAGTGAGAATTCGAAGGGTAAAGCAAACAACCGCAGCATCCCAGCGGTCTTATTTTCCCTCTTCTTCCCTCACCCTTCTGCTTCTATTGACAAATTATATAATACCAGCTGCCTGTCGGTAGTTAATGAATGTTACGCGGTCAGCCCAAGCAGTCATTTTGTCTGCGCCTAAAGACATTGGTATAAACTGGTCCTCAGAAATTAAGGAGCACCAAAGCAAGAAGAATTAACCGCTGCTACTCAAGCCCTCCTTGAACGTTATCAGGCAGGGAGAGATTTTGTAGGTGGAAGCACTGTGGACAGCTGCCATGCTGATGCAAATGCGACCACGATGAATATAATTGAAGAGCGCACACCAAACGTCGCATATGAGTATTCGCAGACAAGGCGGACATTGAGATGCTATAAACACATACTCGAAGCCTCACTCAAGTGCCTTCAGACTAACCAAAAGACCTGGAAAACGCCAGCGAAGGAAAACCATCTAGGGCCAACAGTCGTCTTCGAAACCAAACGAATGGGGGGGGGGGAGGGGCGTCAGCGCGACAAGGTCAAGCCTGGAATTCAATGCATCCCTGTTCCTAACAGCCGACCCCACACAGTCAGGTCGAGGGTTGTTCTTCCGACTCACCGAAATTGCAGTACAATCAACCAAACCCTGACAACAGAACACCGCCGTTCCTCACTGCAGTGTTCCAGTTTGTTCTTGTCATACATGCCCGTGGCCACCGCAGCGGGCATTTCGCCAGGACGCCTTCAACAATGGCCCACCCACACATCGGTAACCTGCAAATGTACAGTGCGTGACCTATCTCATGAAATGTTGACTGAAATTCTGAAATGCGTTTTCGATTAGGAAGGATTACTTAGTCGCGGTTGTGATACTGATTATCTTCAGGCATATTCTTATAACATTTTGGACTCGGCAGGATGTCGGCTTTTAAATGCACTTCTTTTCAATCTCCTGTATAAAGCGTGCTCGATAAAAAGTGACTACATAAGTAGCATGCATTTTTCCCACTGATTTTCGATGGTCTAGGAAATTCAAATATATATTATAGAAACCACAAACAAAAATGTGCTTTCTTTTATTCAATCAATAGAGAATCACGTCTTCTTTATATTTTATACTTTAGGAAGGAGCATAATAAGGTTTTAAAAAAGTTTCTAATTATGAGACTTGTTAAGACCGCGATATGTCCATTCACATAGAATCGTACCTGGCCGTTTACCACTGCTCCTCATGAAATGTACAACATGGTCCGCATCCATTGCAAAAGTTTATGGACCCTGTATGATATCTATTTAATGACATCGAAAAATATGGGATTTTCTTTACGCGGAACGCATGCACCTTGTAGAGTGTAGTCACTAAGCGCTTATGCAACGAATGATCAGGCCCCAAATTTTTCGGCAATTAGAAAACTTTTTAGAACCTAATTATACTCCTTCTTTAAGTATAAAATATAAAGAAGACGTTATCCTCTATTGATTGACTAAAAGAAAGCACATTTTTGTTTGTGGTTTCTATAAAATATGTTTGAATTTCCAAGACCATCGAAAATCAATGGGAGAAATGCATGCTATTTAAGTAGTCATTTTTTTACCGAGCACGCTTTCTACAGGAAATTGAAAAAAAAATGTATTTTTAAGTAGACATCCTGCCGAGTCCGAAATGTTATAAGAGTATGCCTTATAATAATCAATATCACAACCGCGACGAAGTAATCCTTCCTAATCGAAAACGCATTTCAGAATGTCAGCCAACATTTCATGAGATAGGTCACGCACTGTATCTTCGAGCGACTGAGGGATCAGTCAGACCGTGGAGACCCAGTCACAGCCCTCGCCACTCACATGGCACCGCGCTCTCGGCCACCGCAGAGGTTCATGCTAGTCATGTGCGCACAGCCAGTAAAGTACGGACACCATTCCCAGCGCTCTCAGTCAGCACCGAGACCTTTCTGATCATATGCACATGCACATACGCTCTTTCACCTAGAGCCTACAGTGATTTCTGTAAACGTCGGTCCGTACAGTAGGTGGACTATCTCATGAAATGTCAACCGAAATTCCAAAATGCGTTTTCGTTTAGAAAAGATGAATTAAGTATGGTTGTAAGACTGATCACAATAATTCTATGATACTGCAGTTACCTCAGGATGCCGGCTTTCTAACGAAATCCTCAGCGGTTGTAGGCAAAAACCACACTCCGTAAAAAATGATTACTTAAGTAGCATGCAATATTTTCACTGATTTTCGATGGCTTTACAAACTAGCTTCTATCTCATGGAAAACACACGTAAAAATATCTATTCTTTTGCTCGTTCGGTAGTAATTTACATCTTCTTCCAATTGTATACAGGCAGGAAGTGTATAATCCGGTTTTCAAAGTCTTTCCGACTCACGAATAACTTTGAACCCGACTCGCCGTGACATTTGCATTCAGGGTTTCCAAACTACAAGCCGTATATTTTCCGCGTACGTAAAACCATACATTTCTCTACGGCGGTAAAAGAAGACCAGATGGTGCTCATCAAATTTGGCAGTGGGTTTGAGCCATTTTGTTAGCTTTACAAGCCACATTGGTAAATGCAGAGGCATGGCGATTTATAAACGACTATTTCATGGTATTAAAGTTCTCACAATAAGAAGCCTTTTTAAAACTGAATTATACCCTTTGTTCGAGTATAAAATTGGAAGAAGACGTAATTTTCTGCCAATTGAGCAAAGGAGTGAATATTTTCATGCATGTTTGTCATTAAATCTAAGCGAATTTTTAAGGGCATCGAAAATTCACTATGAAAATGCATGCTACATAAGTAGTTATTTTTTACAGATTGTATTTTCTGCACGCAGCCAAAAAGAAGTTCGTTCAAAAGCCGGCATCCTGAGGTAACTGAATTATTGTAAAATTATGCTGCAGGATGATTCGTTTTACAACCCTGCTTAATTTATCATTTTGAAACGAATACGCATTTCGGAATTTCGGTTGCCATTTCATGAATTGGCCCACCTACTGTACTTGCAAAGTGGCATAATTGCCTGGGTGACCGCTCACGGCATACGACAGGCGAAGTCTTATTGAGGCACGACGGTGGACAATTCCAAGGTTCCCAAATCCGGGGGAGGCAATGAAGATAGTTAGATGAACATCTCGGGCAAGCGACAGCCGAAGCGCATATGCGCCTGTGTACATGTGGCCCGGCTGAGGCTAATCTGTGAGTAAAGAAATATCGACCGGCGTCACAACTTTGCAAGCCGAAAGTTGAGTGCCACGCGCGTACGCCACAGCACTGTCAGCTCAATCGTGGCGCCTCGCCATTGGCTGTTCCCCTCGAGCCTGATCGATCCGTGTATTCGAATAATAGATCAGGTCGTCTAGACGGTTCTTCCGAGGTGCATTGGGCTGAATGCAGGCGAACCTCAGTGGGAGGTTATAAATAAGTGTTACTTTTCCAGTTAGACTTGACATGCAGCTTTCTCGTGGCCGGTCGTGTTCTCCTTCTCTGTCGCTTTAGTATTGGAGACAAGGGTCGAGTGTGCATACGCTCTACGTGATTTAAAGTACCAGCCCGGATCATAACAGACATGAGGGCTCAGTCCCACTCAGGGCTGAGGGTTAAGCCACAATTCAGCATTCGTAGGCTGTCTCGAACGACAGTCACTCTTGTGAGGTCCAAGACACCCTCCCGAAAGAAGCCTGGTAGACGGGAATAGCAACCTCCCATAAAAGGTGGCCTTGTGCTAAATTCCGGTAGGGACACCTGATGACAGTTCGACCATCTGTTTCGATGATGTCCACCATGTGCCCCACAGTTGAAGCTGCAATGGGAGCAGGGACGGTGACTTACGCAGGGGTTTATAGTGCCAGTAGACTTGCGTAGCATCTACCTACACTCTCTTGTCTCCTCCCTCGCCCGAGCCCGGTGTCAAGGCAGAGTCAAGAAGACAGGAGACGAGAGAGGCCGCAGGTGGATGGCTCGGACGGATCCTCACCTTGGCGTCCCACCACACCCCCTGGTCCACACAACAAATGACCAGGATTTCAACCAACAGAACAGAGATTTGGAGGCTGGCACGGCCGAAGCCGCACCTGGGCGTGCCGCCAACGCCTGTCACGGCTTTTAGCGCACCGTGATAGCTTCAAGCGCGTCAGATTGTTTATAGTGAGGAGAAAGTGCGATGAGTCGTCGACCTCACTCTCCCTTCCCACTCCCACACCCCAGCCGCTGTCCGAGCCGGTCAGCAGACTGGAGTGGGGAATGGGCGCGGTGGCTGTCATGGTCGACTGACCATGACTGCGCGCGCCACGGCACGACCTGGCCCCCCATGCACACAACACCAGGATTTCACACAACGGGGGTTGAACGGCGTGTCTCTCACTTGCGTGAGAGTGCCGTGGAAGGTGCTGTTTCAGCCCGTCCCCAGCCCACCAGCCCGCCACTCCACAAAACACACACACACACAACGCGACGAACTGCGTAAACCGAGAGCGGGCGTCAATCAGCAACCTTCCTATCCACGACGCTTGACGTGTCGGGATAGTCTCGGACTCAATTCACCCGTGCAGCCGAAGCCGCATGGGGACCGAGTCGAGATGCACACTTCCCACTTGCGTAGGAGGTGGCAGTTGGGTGCATGAGGTGTGTGTGTTGATTTCTGGTCGGGTGATGGTGGTGGTGGT